CTGGCAGCTTCGATTTCAGTATGGATATCAATGCTAATGTTGGCCACGTACGTTTTGTGCGCAAAGAAGTTTGAGCATACGTGGGAAGGGTTTACATTAGAATCATTTCATTATGTCCTCACCAACTTGAAACTTGCCCTACCCTCTGCAGCAATGGTATGGTAAGTGTTCTTCAATTTTTCTTTACTCTTTTTCTGAGTATGTGAGATAGAATCTAAGTATTCATGTCATCATTTTTTTCGTCTTTCCAGTTTGGAGTGTTGGGCCTTTGAGATTCTGGTGTTCATGGCAGGAGTAATGCCAAAAGCTGAACAAAACACTTCCCTAATCGCAATCTGGTAAGCATTCGGCTAGCTCTAAACTTATAATTTTTCGCTCGACTCGAGTAGATTTTTCCTAATCTAATCATATCTTCAGTGTGAATACAGAAGCAATTGCATACATGATTACATATGGCCTCAGTGCTGCTGCATGGTTGGTAGAACAATAAATTCCAAGTTTAACTAATCACTTCGGGTTTTTCGATTCTACATTCTGTTTCACACGTTGAATCAAATATTACTTTTTTCTTGCTTGTAGCACAAGGGTGTCAAATGAATTGGGAGCAGGCAATCCTGAGAAAGCCAAGAATGCAATGGCTGTGACTCTTAAGCTCTCTATACTTCTCGCGCTCATTGTTGATCTGGCTCTGGCATTTGGTCACAATGTATGGGCCGGCGCCTTCAGCGACAGCAGCGTAATAATAAAACTATTTGCTTCCATGACACCGTTGCTTGCAATTTCTATAATTGCTGATTCTTTCCAATGCGTCTTATCAGGTCCGAATCATCATCCACTTCTATTAGGGGTTGTCCATCTGCTACTTTGCATTTGAACTTATTCTCTTTGCCTTCTATTTCTCGAGTATCTATGAGAGCGAATTTTCGGTATTTCAGGTGTGGCCAGAGGATGTGGGTGGCAGCACCTGGCTGTGTATGTAAACTTGGGAACATTCTATTTGGTTGGCATGACAATTGCAGGTGTTCTTGCATTTAAGTTGAAACTATATGCTAAGGTTAGACCATTAAACTTGTAGCTTAATTTTACACCCCCATAGGATTGAACCTTGGGTTTCCAAAATAGTGTAAAAAGAAGTGTTTCGAATCACTGCTGTTTGACGCGGACCTGTTATAAAAAAGTCCGGGCATCTGCACACTCAGTACTAACATTATTAATTCTTTGGCTGAACACAGAAGTGGAACAAGCGGCTAGCTAGTAGTTGATTTTTTTTTTTTTTGTTTATGTATCTAACTCAGTTCACGTTTTGTGCTTGATTTCTTCTGGTGCAGGGGTTGTGGATTGGTTTAATCTGCGGTCTTTCTTGCCAAACTGTCCTACTTTTGGTGGTCACGCTGCGCACAAAATGGACTCAACTGGATTTACCTCGTAACGCAGATGCAATTTTGGTCTAAATGGTTACACAAAACTAGTTAACAACATAGACCGCAATGGCAACCTTTTTAGACTAGATTATGGAATTTTGAGGAAGTTATATATTGCAGAGAAAAATAGTCTCTGGATGATGGAGAAGATGCATGCATGTTTCCATTAACTGGTTGTTCTGGCAAGCAATTTCCTATAGCAGGTAGGTAGGTGACTTCAATAAGAGAAATTCACGTACTATTTAATGAAGATTAATAAAAAGGATCTGATTTGCTGAGCACTTTTGCATCTTCAACGAATTTCACGCGTGACTGTCTTAATCTTTATAGCGATGACTACAAGAGTACGCGTATAATATCCCTTAAAGATAATATAGCGAAGGAGATTTTAGTAGTGAGCTATATTTGACATTGAAAAAAAAAAAAAAAAAAAAAAAAAAACCAGCTGGTTGCTTGGCAATCTATTATTTCGGAGGCCGGAAAAACTTACAGAAGTATTTTAGCCTCCCACTAATCATTACCGTGCAATCCACCAGTAGAACTCAATCATTTTTCAATGCAACGGAAAATTGGAGTCATACGCAAGGTCATATTTGATTTTAGATATAGCTCTACAGGTAAAACTAAAACCCCACGTTAGAAGATTCAAAAATTATATTTGACTCAACTTTTCTCTAAGGAACATCAATTAAAGGCTTAGCCACTTATTATTATGGCAAGTTCATTATAAAGTTTAGTCCATTGCTCTATTCTTTTGTATATACTATTGTTTGTTAAAATACACACACATACATACTTCTCTGCCCTCCTACTCCCCATACACTCTTATCGCCTCTTATTTTGTACGGTCACGGTTAAGCCACGTTAACATTTTATATTGATTTTTTTATAAAGATAATAAGACAAAAAACAATAGTAATATAAAATATTGACATGGCTTAATCGTGATTACACAAATAGAAGATGATAAGAGTGTATGGGAAGTGGAAGGGTAAAGAAGCTAGGTCCCGAGAGAATATGAGTTGTAAGTGCATGTTGAACACATGGCGGAAGAAAGCAAACAAACAAACAAAAAGACAGTAGCGACTTGACTCTAGCTGGACAGATTTTCAATGTACGTAGAACATGGAGTGTTAAATTATATGTGATTATACTAGTGTAGCTAAAGTTTCTTTTAAGCGTGGCCTACATCCCAGAGTTTCACGTCACATATTTACCATCCTTTGTAAAAATGTTGTGTTCTTGTAGCCAAGTAGTGTTCTTGTAAAAATGTTGTGACTGCAGTATTACTTTTAGCTTATCTATTTTGGTTGAAGGATGATGTTATTTAATTTAATTACCCCAGCCACTCTTCTGTCTCTAAGTGCTTAGTATTTTTTTCACAGGTCTTCAATTTCTGTTTTTGATACAAGCAATGTTGGCCAATTTGATTCTGGGATCCTGAATGTAATAGTAAACTCTCTTTTCCAAAAAGTATCATGACCCAAATCGGAACTCGGACGTCAAAATTGCAAATTTCTAATGCGTCCCTTTGACTTCCGTTGGTTCATTTCCTCTTCAATCCATTCGGTTATTTGTTCTACATCATTTAGATGATAAATAACTAATACATAAATGTGTTGGTGTTTATATAGGGTAAGCTAAAATAACTAGGTAACACCAATGAATGTGAATGTGTTGGTATTTAGATTCCAATTATTCAACTTTGTACAATTCTAGTTGCAGACTTGGAGTTAGCGTGGGTTGGGGAAAATATATCTCTTTCCTTCAAATTTTCTTTAATTATATTACTTTTACTGTTTCACCATAAATAATAATACTCTCTTTTGAAATGCTAACTAATCAATCAAGTTTTGAAAACTCAACAATAAGGATTTTTTTTATTGTAGGCCTATTTCACTGAAGAATCATAGAAAAATAGTAGATATAACCAGCAAATTTTGGAAAAGTTCAAATTTGGGAAAATGTTAAACAACGGAAAAAAAAAAAAATTAAACATGAGTAGGTAGAGGGAGAAAAATGTGATTATTATTTCACTTTTAGTATTCTAATTGCTTGAAATTTTGGTATGGGTTGGGTTAAGTGGAGCTCTAGAGACGCTTTGCAGGTAAGGTTTGGAGCAAAGTTGTTTGGATCTAAAATTACACCATCCATCCGTGCAATTAAGGCTATTGAGTGAGCATAGTTGCACACCATCGGATGGGAAAGTTAAGATAATGTTGTTGTTGTTAGGGGATAATATTATGGTTTTTAATTATCTTTTAATAATAATTGTCCCAACGTTTTCTTATGCAAGATAAATGGGATTCAAATTATCTCCAATCTGGAAGCAATAAGAGAGTTCAAGTTAACTTGGGTTTGCTAGCAGTGGACACGTAGATTGGGACAGCTTGGAGTAGGAGATCAGCACAAAGATATGAAGGATGGGGTTATTGGTCAAAAGAATGGGATTGCATTTGCATGCAGCGTGAGGCCATGGAGACTTGTATTTAGAGACCTATTCCATGCAATTAAGAGTCCAATTTGAAGAAATTAGCAATATGAGTGGTGTTTGATTAATGCCGTGCATGTCCCTAATGTGCTATTGGTTTAGTGATAACAACGGGATGATCGGAGATAAAGTTGGGATTATACGTGGTCTTGATTTCACAAACAAGTTCGAGAGGATGGCAATTTGTGAAGTTATTAAAGATAATATTCTGAGGAATATTATTTTTGATTGCTTTGGTGCCGCGGCAAATATTCTTTCAACATGGCCAGCAAGCAAATAACACTATAAATACAAAGTTTCAAATAACGTGCCAACCCTTCCAAATCAACGCACAAAAAGAAATATAAAATTAAAGTAGTGAAATCCGAGGATAAAATTTTACATTACTAGTGGTGTTTTATTTTTTTGGTGTGCCGGTGATCTCCATTGCGAGTGGAGTACTTATTCTTGCGGCTAGTCATGCTAGCCCTTCCCTTGTAAATGAATTTTAAGAAATAATTTTTGCACTCTTTTTTAAACACTCCTTGATTATCTGTGTCATTTAATTCTTCTTTAAATCCTAAAGGGTTAAAGTCGTGCGAATACTATTTTGCATTCTTTTGGAACCTAGACGATGTTATTGGGCGGCAATTGCCTATCGGCTACTTAGTAACTAGTTTGTAGTTTTTCTTGTTTGGGCTTCGTCCTCAATTTACCTTTTTTTTTTTTTTTGGGCCAAACAATAGATTTTATTAAATTATATGTTAGATTAACAATTGATGAGATTCGAACCCACGTCGATATGCAATGGCTTAACTCATTTCTACAACTGTGGTAAATGATCACTTGTCGGCCTCAATTTACCTTCAAAACAATGTTTTTGTAGAGAATAATGATAAGGGTAAATAAGTTCAATAACGTTTGAAAATCGAAAAATAGCCGTGTCAGATGATGATTTGACCATTTAATTCAATTGCATTAATTCTGGTAAAAGGTGAGTGAATGCAATTTATTAAGCATAGATATGTTTCAAACCTACCTAAATAGTTTTTTTTTTTTTTTTTTTTTTGTCAAAACCTACCTAAATAGTTTTATGTTCCTTTTTTTTTGGAGTAAAAGTGATAATCTACGCTAACAAGGCTAGAGTTGAAGTCGAAACCCGTAAATGGTTAGATATGCCGTAAGAAAAACAAGGGGACAAAGGAAAAGGAAAACTGTAGCTACACAGAGCAGCCATGTATTCCTAGAAAGCTTTCAACTTTGAAAATCGCTGCAGGGCATTGTAGAACAGAAGGGTTCCAATGGCACGGAAGGGTCCACGGAAGAAACAATCGTTTTTCAAGGTCCTACTTGGTGATTTCTCTAAGCATCTGGTAAAATCTTTGCCTTCTTTCTTATAAACTTCTCAAGATCAAATTTTTCACAGTCGTGCTTGCAACTTTTCTCTTCTTGTTTTTGGGTTCGTTTTCTACATTAATCAGGAATTTGAGTGAATGTTAAAAATACCCTTTTCATGGTTTCATGTTTGGATCTACTTTTGTTTATATTTTACTACTTGTGTCGATATATTATAAAGAAATTCACATTTGAAAACTTGTTTGGTTACTCAGAAACCGAGAGAAAAGTGAAAACTGATCCTCAGGGCTTAATCAACCGTGAATGATGACATCAATAGCTTTTGGCTACTGATTTACACACACCGTTTTTCTTCCATACACACTAATTTTTACGTCCTTTGTACACTTGCAAATCCATGATATCCTGGGAGTTGTGTGGACTTCTTTCTCTAAGGAGATTATTGGTGATTGCGATTTGATCGGATTAGGATTGGACTGCATTGGATTGTACAGAATTGTAGAGGATAACAATGATACAATTCTGTGTTTGGTACTACACATGACTAAGTAAGGGATTGTGTGCCAAATTATGGGTGAAGAAGTCATGGGAAGATAGAACAAGAAAATTTTGCTCTACATTATCTCACCCTCTCTGCTCAGGATTAGTCAATAGACGATGGTAGAATTACTTGGAAGGTTAACACTGAATGGTATTAAATATTGAAGTTATCCAGTTTGAATTTTGTTCATTACTGATGCTAAGCTTGCTTAGTTTTATGCATTTATAGTATGGTCTTCTAAGAAGCTGTCAAATTTTGCAGCGTATACCGCATGCGTTTCTCAAAAACTTAAGTGGACTATCGCTTGGCAAATGCGCTCTTAAGGGCCCTAGTGGAAAACGGTTGATTGTGGAACTGGAAGAGAGAGAGAATGGCTTGTTCTTCTATGCGGCGGGTTGGCAGGATTTTGTGAAGGATCATCTTTTACAAGTGGGGGATTTTCTGGTTTTTTATTACTATGGTGAATCCAAATTTAAAGTCAAAATATACGATAAAAGTGCCTGTGAGAAGGATGTAGAGGAAGCCGATGGGAAGAGTGGCAATCCAGCTTCCTTGGAAAATTATAAGGGAAATCAAGCTAGAGTAAAAGAGGAAATTGTTGAATCTGAAGCTGAAAACTACGATACAGACTCTGAAAACAAAGCAACTATTGCTAACAGAAGAAGTGGTAAGTTGTAGATTGTATGTGTATTTTCTGTAACGGCTTTCCTCGCCCCTTCTCGTTATCTTGTTTCAATTTGATGCTGAATAGGGAATGCCATGTCTGGAAAGAGACCTACAACTGGTTATGTAAAAGAAACATCAACCACTTGCTTCACATTCAAATCGGAGAATCCATGTTTCATGGAAACTCTGAAGAAGCATCAAGAATATTGTGTGGTCAGTACTCTGTCACTGATTCTTAAGCCATTTTTTGTTTTGTGAAAACCTTTTCTTATTGTTTTGGAAAAGAGTAATATTACTTTTCTAAAATATTTTCAAGAAAGCTTCCTTGAAAGTTCCACCACGTGTTAGGGAGTCCACTACAGTGAGTATTAGACTTCGGTACAAAGTTAATGAATCTGTTTCTATGTCTAAGACAAATGGACTCTCCATCGATATTTTAAAATTTCAGGTGATTCCAAAGAAACTAGCCATATCTGAAGGTCTTTTGAGCATGGGCACTGTAATGCTTCGAAATGAATCCGGAAGATCATGGTGTGCTAAAGTTATACTTCGTCCCAAGTCATCTTTCCATCGCATGGAATTGACGACAGGTTGGGCAGAATTTTGTAACGCAAACCAGATTTCAGTTGGGGACACTGTCATTTTTGAGTTTGTCAAGCAAAGCGTAATTCAAATTCATGTTTTCAGAGCAGTGAGAGGCAAGAGGTGTGCTGTGGTACTAGATACCCTCAATGTAAAGAACGAAATCTAGTTAAAAATGTCTTGACTGCAATTCACATCTGCATTCTGCGCAAACGCAATCTTCTTGTATTTTCTGCCCCAGCCACGGGCAGCCAGTCTTCTGTTTCTGTGATATATCTACTGATTGTTTTGTGGTAGCTTTTTGTTTCTATGATGCAGAACTTGAATTGAGAGAGATGAGTTGAGTTGAGCTTGTGCACATGTAAGATGTTAGCCATTCATCCAAGATGGGACTGAATTCAAATGCCATTTATATCTCGTTCTTTATATTTTAATCCCTCGTCTCATCTCAGAAAAACCAGCTTCAAAGTTGGTCTCGTAAACGTGCTGAGTATCAATCCCATGGTTGTTCAAGCTCAACTTTCTTTAGTTGTCAAAAAACTCATCTTGCATCAACTTCTTTTTGTTCCTCTAGCCTCATGATTGAGTCAATCAAAGAAGAATCAACAGATATAAAAAAGCGGAGGAGGACACAAGGGGCGTGCCAAAATTTTCTTTCCTTACAACTGTTGATAATCTTTCATACTGGTTCTGCATTTGTTTCGGTTCTGAAAATTTAACTTCATTCACAAAGGAAAAGAAAACGAACAAGTGAAGCGCAAGGTAATCGGGAAAAAGTCCTAATATCAAAAAGTCCAAAAAGATAAAGCAAAGGCCATCTCAATGCAATACCCGAACTCTCATTTTGGGTCCAATGCAGATGATTCAAATGTTCAAACTCAAATTTGAGTGTCGAGTCTAACAGCTTTTCTCTGTGCGCATGGGCTGTGTTTGTGTATGATGCAGATTTAACTCACGAAATGACGTGAGCGAGGACATTGCAACTAAATATCAATGTTACATTAACTACGTTTATATATATATATATATATATTGATGCGTCGGTACTAAATGTTGACGCCATATCAAATACCGATGAAATATTCGTTGTTAACATGACAATGATATTCAGTTGCAATATCATCGTTGAAGTTTTTCAAGTCTGAGTCATGCACAGCTCCGTGTACTAAATTCAAGTCGTTAATATGACACTAATATTCGGTTGCAATGTCAATGAATGATCAATTGCATTCATTGATAAAATTTCACTAGTGGTTTAGCTTTCACTTATGAACCCTGGCTCCCTTTTATGTTTCTCCAACCTGCACAAATATTTTATTTTTTTAGGCTATTATACACTGACATAGATTGTTATTAATTTATCGGGGGGGTGTTTGGCAGTTACTTGGATTAGGATGATGAAGCTTGTAAACGAGTTTGTAGCATAATAAACTTTAAACTTTGGTTCCTTAGCTCATATGTAGTTGCTATAGAGAGAGGGTCGGGCAGGAAAGAGAGAAAAGAGAGTTGTACAAAAATTCTGTCTTTTTTAGGGGAAATTTTTCATTGTTGCCGGAATACGGATGGTACACCATGTGTTTTTATATAAGTGGTAGGAAATTTTATTTTTTAAGTTATTAACTTTTTAACATACATATCCCACCATTTGTATAGTGACATATAATGTACCATCCCATGTACTAATCACACTAAAAAATTTCTCCTTTTTCACCTATATTTTGACTTTATTTATAATAAACATAACAAACTTACTTGCCCTACAAGTAAGAAAGCCTAAGATTTCTCTCTCGATCAGAAATTTGCTACTTCAAAACCCTAGCGTGGCTGGCAAACCTCGAACAGCTGAACTACACCACTCTCTCTACATTCAACAGCGAAACATATAGAGCACCTGCAGCCAGCGACAATGTTCAGGATCTCAATCTTCGTCGTCCCTCTTCAGAACGTCCTCATCCCTCTCCAGAACATCTTCGTTCCTCTTCAGAACGGTGTCGTCGACCCCCGTCGTTGGGAAGCCATTGTCGACCCCAGCCTTCTTCACACCCCGGACCCCGGCTATTCGATTTGGCTCCATATTATCGTTTCAAACTCAGCAGCAACAACAGCGGACATTGTCGTTTCGGCAGCCACCGTTGCTTCAGCCTGCTGGGCCTATGCACTTCGGAGTCCATTTTCTACGCATCAAGAGCCAACGCCCTTCCGTTGCTCCTCTCAGATGGCTGCCATTGCTCCTCTCTTTTTCACTCTCCCCGGTTGCGATATTCAAGTAAGGTTTTCTCTTTTGTTATTGATTATACAGTGCACTTCCCTAACCCTAGCTTTCACTTTTCGTTTTGATTTTGAATTTTCTAAAATCTATCTTAATTTTTGGCTTCCTCTAGCCATTTTAATTTTAGTTAACGACGTTCTTAATTTAGCACAAGTAGCTCTGTAGCTCTTCGAGAATTTGAAATCAGACGTTTGAAATGTTGAAATCAAGGGTTTAATCTATGTATGTTTAATTATTTATCTATTCTTGGTGGATAAGAATCAATTTCTGTAGCACTTTTTTATATTTGACTGGCAGTTTCGAAATAAGCGTTGCAGGTTCATTTAGGGTTTTTCCTATGTATGTTTGGTTGTTATATTTGATTTAGTTGATTGAGGACTGTTTATATATCTCTTCTTTTAGCATTTGTGATTTCTGTTTGATTTCTGCTTCCTATTGTGTTTAATGTCCTTGTAACTGGGGTTTCTTGTTTGTTTGTATCTCAGTCGACGAAAGAAACCATCAGCAACGTAAACGATGTCTCACTCGAAATTACTAAGCAGCTGCTCACGACTGAAGGCAAAGAGAAGAACATGGTGTACTCCCCGCTGTCCATCCAGGTTGTGCTGTGGCTGTTAACGGCCGGGTCAAAGGGTCCCACAAGGGAGCAGTTGCTCGCTTTCCTCAGGTCCAAGTCCACGGACCAACTCAACTCCCTTGCCTCCCATCTTGTCCCTCTGATCTTCACAGAGGGATCTACCAAAGGCGGTCCCTGCCTAAGTTTTGCCAATGGCCTTTGGGTTAAGGATACTATTCCCATCAAACCTTCTTTCAAAGAGGTTGTGGACACTGCTTACAAGGCAGCTATAAAACATGTTAGTTTTGTGAACCCTGAGGAAGTGAGACGTGAAGTGAATTTATGGGCCGAGAAGGCGACGAAAGGCCTTATCACTGAGGCTCTTTCTCCTGGGTTAATTGACCACACCACCACTCTTATATTTTCAAATGCTTTATACTTCAAAGGCCTTTGGAGCAGAAAGTTCGATGCATCGATAACAATAACGGACAACTTCCACCTTCTCAACGGTACTTCCGTTAAGGCGCCGTTCATGAGAAGCTCCGGAGAACATTTTGTTAGAGCCTTTGACGGCTTCAAAGTCTTGAGGCTTCCTTATTCACAAGGTGAAGACAAGGAGCGGCCGTTTTCGATGTACTTGTTGCCGCCATATGAAACATATGGGCTCCTAGCTTTAGGTGAAGACAAGGAGCGGCAGTTTTCGATGTACTTGTTGCTGCCAGATGAAAAATATGGGCTCCCAGCTTTGGTCGAGAGAGTTTGTTCCGAGCCTGGTTTCTTAGATCGCCATCAACCCGGAAGACGAGTCCCAGTTGGTGACTTCAAAATCCCAAGGTTTAAGATTACCTCCGGCTTTACAGCTTCTGAAATTCTCATGGATTTAGGACTGGTGTTGCCTTTCAATGGTGACGGTGATTTGACAGAGATGTTGGAATCAGGTATAGGTGAGGCCAAAATGATTCATAAATCCTTCATTGAAGTTGATGAAGAAGGCACAAAAGCTGCAGCCGCTTCTGTTTTTCACACACTTATGTGTTCGACTGGACCGGTTGAACGGATTGAAGATATAGACTTCGTGGCTGATCACCCATTCCTGCTGTTGATCAGAGAGGAAACGACTGGGACTGTTATGTTCATTGGTCACGTGCTGAATCCGCTTAAAGAATGATCTTATCATAGATAGGGTCAGAAAATCTTTCCTCTAGGTTTTGTTTCTACGCATGCTTGTTTATGTTTCACTTAGATCAGGTAGTCCATTTAATGTAATTAAGCACTCGTACTCGTTTTTCTGGACGGAAATAACTAGTACTCTTATGTTTGGATTGCCTAATATTTTTACATTTGAGATTCGACGGTTGCTTTGCGTTTCCCCAGAAAATATTGGCTTTTAATAGGAAATGAACGAACATGATGATGAGATATTTTGATCTAGACCATAGTATCATATCCAATCTCATCTTGTTTTCGTTAATTTATATTTAATTGTGCAAACAAAAGGGTCTCTGGACTCGCCGGTGCTTGTTTGTCTAACATCGCCACCGGAGCAGGTTGAGGCCACGGCTGCTTGATGCATTGCACCGTCCTTTAGGATACAAAGTTTTTCCTTCATCAGATGGAAGGTGTACTTTTTGAGTTGATTTAACAAAAGTGAGTGAGGAACGAGGATGGTTGATACTTTTTTAAGGTTCCTTCAAATTAAAAACTAAAAGTCTCATGTTCGAAACCCATTGTTAGTGGGAAAGCCAGACTTGCGGCCAAAGGGAGACTAGCCAGAAATGCCTCTATGAGACTGCCTAGCTTCTCGAAGGGATGGATAACTGTAGCTTGCCACTAATTGTCCCTCTTAACAAAATAAATAAAAACATTGTAACTTGCCAACTTTGTGGTAAACCTAAAAATCGGCTTTTTTTTTTATAACCCAATCGGGTCAATGTAACATATAATTTAACCGGATCATTGTCTCATAATTGCCAGGAATAGAGACAGAACTGCTATACATGGAAACTACTACTCAAAATATACAAGAAAAATCCACACATAAATTGCCAAACGTCCCTAAAATTCAAACCACCCCAACCCTCAGTCCATATATCTATCTCCTCAGTACAACAGGGTACCCAAAACTAAAAATGAAAAAACGGGTACAATAAATTCCAGCTCACCACCACGACAGCCTGCATCATCAACGCATCGTTTTTACAGTGTTAGACATATTTTCCCTGCGTGAGAACGTCTAAAGAAAGGGCAAAGAAGAAATACAAATCCCAAACTACCAAATGGTAGACGAAAGCGCTCATGCTTAACACTGCACATTATATGGACCATAATAAATCTGAATACTAGTATGTTAAACACCTACAACTCAATTCACTTGCACAACACAAAAGGCTTCTTTTATTTTCACAACACAAAACACTTCTTCCGAAAATTGAACTGATATTCCTTCGTTTGGTTGACATTTTTTTCATTTGAATAACACCCCGATCGTATGATTAGCTATTGTGTCAGCTTCACTAAAGAGGGCAGCTTTCATTTTTTTTTTCTTTTTCCAATGTAATTATGTTTGTCCATGCTTTGACTTTGTTAAGCACACTAAACCAAAAAGAACGAAGGAAATTCACATATGCACAGAAGAAATTGGATAATGCAGCGACACATACCAGGATTTTTAAAAGTCTCCGATGTTGGTAGTGCAGGCAATGACATCTCTGCAAAGCATAGTAGCCATGAGGTAATGCACTTACACATAAAGGAAAATATGCAATTTATAGAATCCCAGTATTATTTGTCACATGGTATATAGATTTTCTGAGGGAAAAGGGCAACAAAAGTTATTCTTTGCCCAATCAATTACCAGGTGCACAAAAGGACAACGATGAAACTGAGGAAGATGAAGGCCATGGCGCTGCAGTGTTGTCACTCAAATCACATGAAAAGCTGAAACCTGTTGTATTGTCAATTATCGCATCTGCAGGCAAGCTTCGAAGTAAACACCCTGCATTTGAGCAAAATTGAAAGTACCAATTTTATAAGAATAATGATTCAGGAATTACTTGATCACCGCCGCCAAGTACATATGAGGGATCATGAAGCCAACATTACACTCTAGAACACCTAGGAAATGTACATTTAGGATACATATTGCTAAAACACCCTGCATTTGATCTAAGTGACACCAATTTCGGTTACACTAATAGCATTGCAACCGGCATTTTATAAAGCACCCACAACACAGTACAAAGAATATTCCCACTGCTAAAGCATGAAATTGGATATCAAACATTCACAAAGAATATAATCAATCAACAAAAGAAACAGGAGAAGATTGAAAATGTCATACCTTGTTGCACGTATTCTGTTGCAGTGCCCACCAGGGATCCAGGGAAAAAAAAAGGTAAAAGATCAGATATAATGAAAGAAAAGAGGAAAAATAATTAAAAGAATGGCATGGCGGGATGAGCACCTTGAATGCTAAAGTCTTTCAAGTCAATATCACAAAGCTCATAAACATTTTCCATCACCCCGCCTTTTCTCAACATGGACCCAAACACTGAAGCACAGATTATAGCTTGTCTATTTGTAATTAACATTTGCTTTTGTATTCCCGAAATATAAGTGTTTAATGAGCTACAGCAGGAAGGACTCGGGGCAGCAACATTGCGACATGATTTAACTACTTCTGAAGGCTGCTTAAATTCCAAAGGGCAAACTGCACAAGTGAAAATCATTTTCATGAGAAAAGATGGTACGGTATATAACAAGTCCAAAAATACACAGCATGTAAAGATGTAACCATCAAGCTACTAAAAACCAAGTAAAACGTATGTGGTTCATGTACAAGTATAAGCAAGCCAAATCTCAAACTTAAAACTACAGGGCAAAAGTGGGTAAAAAACTGAAAGGTTTATCATATTTCTGTTCACAAGCCAGTGAAAAAGTGGGTAAATATACTTTGGATGCTTCACTCATTTCATGACTGAATTGGTAATTAGTGAATCAATATGCCGCCTAATGCAGCTTCACTTGTCCTTATGTTACCCAACACAAGGTTGTAAAACTGTTGTGCGCTGTTGGTTTTAAACACAACCAACTTGTACAATTTCCGTAAGAATATGGCATTACATTCAGCACATGTACCTCCAGAGAAATTATTCATGAGTGAACACTACCTACTGCAGATAAACATATTGATTAACTAGGCTAAATAAATATTAGTGAAGAAGAATCAATGATTAGGTTACCCTAAAACATAGTACAAAAAAAATTTTAAAAAAAAAAAAAAAAATAAAAAAAATAAAAAACTTAAACAATTCCTCCAGAAAGAACCAAATAAAAATGGTAATACTAGAGACGCAAGTCCTTCATTGGCCAGGAAAGGTTACACATGAAATTAACAATATGACTCATAAAATGAAACGAAAGTAACAAATGGTGATCCTTTAAGTTTACTTTCTCTTATCAGTTCAAACAAATTGTCTTTTCATTTTCTATATTGACACTAAAAAATTCATATTTTAATAAATGGAGGAACCTGCTTACTGCATTCACTGTTTTTTTCTATACTTCAGATAAGATGAACAACTTAACAATAGATTAGATGCTGAAACCACAATTTCTGAAGTGTAAATAAATTAGTTGTACAGATACTTGAAAACTGTACCTTTGTTAACTTTGCAGGCAGACAATATTCGAAATGCAGTATTGGCAGCATCTGATGAGAGTTTCCTTGAAAGATATGAAAAAACCACACCTTTACAATCACTTAGAGTATCAGTATAATTAAGCCCACCCACTAAATTTTTATTCTCATTCATCATCAATTGTTTTCCTGAGATCCTTAGTGCAGCATCCGCTATTGCATGCTGGCAAATTGGTCTGCAGCACTCTTTGAGAGGGTCAACAGTTGTGCAAGCCTCCACTAAACTGCTTGTATTTACTGTTTTCTCAAAGGCATTAATGTCCTTCACTGGACAGGACCCACCAGTAAGATTTGACGAATTTATGGAGCAGAGTGTAGGTACTGAACTGTTTGCACCCCTACTGGCTAAGATACTGATGATATCTTTAAAACAATCATTTGCGACTGAATTTTGCAGAACCAACTTATCAGAGTTGATACTATAGAGACCCTGGAAGATGCGGATTAAACTACTAAACTGCGGGCAACACATTACATTTCCTAATATTGCCGCCAAAGGTTGAAAGCAATCAGTAGCTGTCTTTTCTATTACACTTGATATGGTAGAAAAATTCACAGGACACTTCCCGGTTAAAACAGGCTCATATCTTGTCGGAAAATTCGGGTACATCGGTTGTGAAGGTTCATCTGCAGGATTTGGGTAGTTTGGAATAACAGCTGGTGATATTTCAATGGGATTAAAGAACCCAGTAGTAGGTGGATTAGCTAGGCCTAGCTCTGCCACGGAAGAAGCATTACTTGGGTCAAATACTGTCTGCACTGCCATGACATCTTGGAAACTGGATAACCAGATAAAGAATAATAATAACTGGCAGCACAAAGAACCTGCAGTGACATATAAGCCTGTCTTCAGAAGAAGTAGCAAGGACACATTACTCATTGACCAAAATACAATGCATATATTGCAAGTTTAGATTTACTTCCAAAGAAAAGCTACCAACATAATCAATTCCAGCAATACCTAATGGATAGCTATCCTCTGGTCATAAAAACTTTACACTAAGGAACGAGACCTTAATATTTTGCCGCACATTAAGTAGTATTGTAACCATCTTTTTGTTCGTCCTGCCCATACCAAAGAATCCATAAACAAGCTATTTAGAATAAATACAAACTTACCTTTATGATGAATAGCAGCCTTTAAACAATCCATAACTCCCAAAGCCCTTGAGTACCATTGAGATTTACATTAGTAAGTGGTACTTGAGTTCGTGACAGGCCCAAAAATAGCTCAACCCAATGCAGCAATACCTATGCCACCTTCAAGCATCAACACAAACCCAGAAGGGAAACTCATTAACTCCTCTCGAGTGCAGATAAAAAGGCATAATTGTGCTTCGAATATACGCTCTTTTGGATTAATAATATGCTTTCAATATACACAAGTATAACACATAATCCACCTGATATATAACACATAATCACAACCCTAAGTAGATGCAAGCTTGCATTCGCAACTAGGCTGAATAATTCGGTGTCTCTAGTGTGACCATTCAAGGTGAATTCTTTCACTCTTCAGAAATCAAAGCACACAAACAATTACCTAAATTTTCTTACTTTCGAACAAGAACCCGATGAGAAATAATCAAACGGAAATTTATGAAGCTATAAAACTGAAAAGCCACACTGAACTGAAGATTGAAATAACTCGTAGATTGACAAATCTGAGATACCACTGACAAAGTGTAGCAAATCTTAAAATTCCCAATTTTTTTTAATCTAAAAATAAATTAAAAAACTTTAACTACCATAAAAAAAAGTTGCTTCCTTTTCACTGTATTTTTCCAGACTTCTCGGCCACCGAACAGCAGATAATCACATGAATTTAAGCAACAAAAAAAGGAACCAAAAGAAACAGAAAAGTACCTGAAGACATTGAAGCCATCGAACATAGTTTTAGTGAGAAATTGAAAGGATTTCCGGGTTCGGGATCGTGAAGCTTAGCAAGCAGGCATGGCTTTCGGAAGGATGGGTCGGAAAACTGGTCGATTTGGACGCCCGGAATCTGAGCCGAGCTGAGCTGAAATGGAGGTGGGGTGCTCAGTCGTGGGGGGTTGTGTGTGCGTGTCTGTTCAGTAAAACTGCTTTTGTGCTTTTTGGGTGGTGGATATAGTGGACGACAGCGGTCTCAACCTCGGCCCTTTATTGACTTCTACGGTTTTTACCCATTTCACAAACCATTTGCCAAGTACCAACTCACCCATAGAATTATACAAATATTTTATTACAAAATAACACTAGCATCTTATGATCCTTATTTACACCGAGGAAAATTATGAAACTTTATTTAACGATAAATAGTTGAGTCGGTAAAGATCATTCTTTTTACCAGACAAAATTTAGATTTAAGTTTTGTTGTTGGATATTTCTTTTGGTGGACGATTTGTAAAAACAAAAAAAAATGTCTAAGATCCTCTATATAAGTTCTTAAAGAGGTTGGTGACATGTTTTGACTCTGAGATCAGGTAACAACCCTTCCTCTAAACTTTTTTTGACCAAAAAAAAAAAGAAAAGAAATTGTAGATTTTTTAGATCAGATTTGATTGATTTAGAGTGAAGTGTACTTAACTTATGAATTTAGATGTGGATAGATTTTTAAGTCTCAAAATTATATAGAATCATACGTGTATTTCTGTCATTACGTGATACGGAGATGATATTAATTTTCTATGTTTCAATTTGGAGATTGATTGATGGGATCCACATGTAATCTCGAACCCTCTATTGTAGAAGAAGTGACGTATACAAGGTTTTATCAATTACCAAAATCATTGGACAAATACTTATGACTGTTTATGACACCAGATTATGGTCAATTCAAATCCATTTATATTGTGGAAAAGGATCCGGATTCTGAGGATTTCATGATTGTAATCGTTCATCATACATCGTATGGTCATAAATTATTTCAAAATTTAAAATTAAATATAAATAATACCTAACAAAAACTGATCGCATGATATACAATGAACGGTTACTATCACGGAATCTCTAGGATCCCCAGAACAAGGCTCCAACAAAGATTTTTTCCTTGTAGTGTGATTTGTTTAAGTCTGGTTATCGTGTTGTGTCTAAGATTGTCACACCGTGAATGCACTATGATTATTTTAAACCGTTAATAATAGTTCACTCATTCTTATAAAAATCTATCTCTTTTTAGTTACTAAAAGTGATCATCACATTCTTTTTTGTTCTCTTACACTCATTTATTTAATTGTAGTATTAAAATTAGAGTAGTGAAAGGATAACTAAAATGAAATTTTTATCCAACCGGTCCGAAATTTTCTTATTTCTTAAATTATTATAATAGTTTTGAAGTTTCTCTCTTTTCCTAATAATAATAAAAATAAAAAGAAAATTAAAAAAATAAATGCGTGAAATCACTATTCTTTACTTATGGTTGCGTTGACTTGTTCTAATTTCATCCGAGTCCACTTAATGGATAGGGCTGGGCCCATTAAGCTGTACAATTCAAGGCCCATGACGTGGTCTAGGCCTATCGGGGTCGCCCGACGATCAAAAGGCTGGATTTTCCGAGTACATTAGCCGCCGAGGGTTTGGGGGTTTACATCTTTCTTCCACACCATCTTCACCACTGCCCGTCTCGGTTCCGATCAATGCAGTGAACCACGAAAATGATTTAGTTCAGATTTAGGGTTTTGCTTCAATGAATTGAATCCTGCAGCTTTCAGCGTACGCATCTCTCTTCAATGTATTTTACGTGTATACGTATTTTGTAATTTGATTTTCGTTTGTTCGGCTGCTGAGAAAATGCTGTGAATTCATATGTCGTAGCATTTCTGACGAACTGGAATTCAATTCATATGTCTGTTTGTGTGTCTGCTGCTGTTTGTTCTTGGGAAAAATGTAATTATTGGCTGCGACTCATATGAACAGATATTTCGATATGATTTTTAAAATTAAAGTTGGGGTTTTGGTTTTTTTTCAATCTGCATTAGCTAATCGGAGCGAGCGGCTTTTGAGATGCTTATCGATTGCTGTTTTGTTTTGCATTGAGATTTTCGGGGTTGTAAATATAGATAGTGAAGATCCCAACTTTATATGTGCGTTTGTACTTGCATGTATAGATTTTATATGTCATTTCTATGCTAGATTAAAATGTTTTGTTTCGTCTCTGGGGAAATGTATTTACTGGTTGTGAACAGAGCAATTAATGGTTCTTACCCGATGAATGTGATTTAAATTTCTTTCATTTTCAACGTGCAGAAATGGCATCAGATCAGTACATCGGGTTATGAATTCGTTAACTGGCCATATTTGATCTGTGTATGTCACTGTTTTGTGTTTTAGTATATGCATTGCACTTGATTCGTTTACGGAGTTGTGTTAGATAAATAAATGTGGAGGCTTAAGAGATATCCCTTTTCTTTCTGGTGAATTAGGATATTTGGTACCTGTGGTGTGGTTAGTAGATTGCGTCCTGGGCAAAATACTGCAGCAATGCAGAATCTGCACCGTGTTATTTCTCGTCTTTCCTCAACTTCACTTGGCACGAGTACAGCAAAGTTTCTGAGAGAGAAAAGCAAACCGACTTTGGGAAGCACTGGTGTGCTTCCATTGAAGAATGGTATCGAATCTTGTCAGTTTATCACTCCCCGATTCTTTTCTTTCAGCTCTGGAGGTGATGGTGAAAATGCTGGTAAAGACGAGTGGGATAAACCCCCGTCTGGGACATTCAGCAATAATGCATCAGATGATTTGGGGTGGGATAAACCTCCGCCTGGAACATTTAGCAATAATGCATCAGATGATTTGGGGTGGGATACTACATCAGCGTGGTCGACTGGATTGACCAAGGAGCATTTTGATGGGGAGGTGGTAGGCCGACGGACAAGTGGGCCCGAACCGTCTCAATCATCAGTGGTATCTGGTTTGCAAGAAATTGAGGATAGGATAAGGGAACTGGAAGAAGAGAACAAGAAAAGCAAAAAGTTTGTGGATGGGTGGGGAGAAAGATTGCGGGAGATAAGTGTGCTTCTGAAGCAAGTGCGTGAGCCTGGTGCAAGAGGGTCTTATCTCAAGGACTCAGAGAAGGCTGAGATGTATAAGAAGCACAAGGAAAACCCTGAGGTTTATACTGTTGAGAGGCTGGCTAAGGATTATAGGATTATGAGGCAGAGAGTGCATGCTATTCTTTGGCTCAAAGAGCTTGAGGAGGAAGAGGAGAAAAAGCTTGGTCGTCCTTTAGATGATTCTGTTGAGCTCCTGCTTGACACCTGCCCAGAGTAAGATATCAATTCACAAGCATTACTTCTATTATATACAAAGGGTCCTATAGTTCTAATAATTTTGTAATGATATCAATTATTTTGTGCATACTTCATACTGATGGTATAGGTTTCCTGCTGCGTTAATTGTAGTCGCAAATTTATAAGCTTAGTGGTGCGTGGCTGATCTAATAGCCAGATTGTATTTCTCATAGTGCATAACTCCTTTCCTCCTTTCAGATTTTTTAATTCTCATGACCGCGAATTCCACGTGGCATCCCTTCCCTACAAACCTGATTTCAAGGTTATGCCAGAGGGTTGGGACGGTACCACCAGAGATTTGGATGAAGTTCATTATGAAATCTCGAAGAAAGAAGATGAAATGCTCTATCACGAGTTTGTCCAGAGAATGAACTTCAACAAAATGAAAGTAAGTTCCATAATCCTGACTTTTCCATGAGAAAAGAAAGCAATCCAACGTTAATAATTAAGAAAAAAGCATAGTTCTGTACTACAAAGTATTACTGCTATTATTGGCGTTACTGTTACGTCTGCTCATTATTATTAGCTTTTCTTTCTCTTTGTTCATATTTTTGTCTTCAAGGATGAATCATTGGAAGCATATTATGTTTTTGCATCATGCTTTTCTTTGTCCCACTAAAGTCGCATCAATAGTTATTGTATTTCTCCTCTACATACCTCTTTATACGAACAACTGATGGACTTTACGGTGTACAAGCAAACTGGTTAGGAGAGTATTAAGTGGGTTTCCATAAGACAAGGTGATAGATTAGCAAGTCTTAACTGGGGATGTGGGTTGACAAATTTGGTGACTGAAATTAAGTGCCGTATCCATTTGCGGTGTATGTAGAATTTTGATGTCTTCGCTATGCATTTGTTTGTGGGTCCAATTTCTGGTTCTTTGAACTTATGAGTTGAAAATTAGTGTGATATCAATTATCAAGTTGTATTGACGCATCGGGTAAAAGGGGTTTTGTCTATCCATCCATGCTCCAAGGATAATAAAAGGGAAGTACTTTCATTGAAAAGGAAAAGACGGTTTCTTTGTAATTAAAGAATGACCCGTATATAGGGTGGCTCAAGGCGTGTTTTCTGTCTATGCTCTGCCCATTGCGCTGCACATTGACTATTCAGTTTTGTGATTAATACCCTTAGTATTGTCTGTCAATGATTTTTGTTATCCGTTTAAATGACGGTTTCACTTGTGTGCAGATGAAAGGAGAGGTCTTCTGCCACAAGCATAGTCGTCGTCGGACTTCACACGGGTGGAACTTCACCGTTGAAAAACTCGGACCCAGAGGAAAGCGTGGAGGTGGCGGTGGCTGGAAGTTTGTTAGCCAGCCAGATGGTTCAAGCCGACCGCTTAATGAAACGGAGAAAATGTACGTGAAGCGAGAAACACCCCGCCACCGGCGCAAGATCCTTCCGTGACGATGAAGCTATTTTGTTATTTGAGTTAGCTGTTGTTATCAAGCATATTTGTAGTTGGTGCAAATGTTGTGTGGGTCTGGTTAGGTGGTGATAATTGTGTCACCTAGTTTGGCCTTTGTATCTTTTTGCTTAGGATTCTTTGCTTCGCTATTTAATTGCCTTCACCAACCCTGTTTCTTTCTCAGTGGTCAATGCAACTGTTTCACTAATAACCATCGAACATTTTATATCTTAGGAAAACTAATGAAAAGTTAAAAAAAATTTTAGTTTTAATGCAAAATGATAAATAAAAGTATTGTGAATGGTATCAGAGAAAAGTAAAAATATGGTTTTTTATTAAAAGTAATCGGTATCGAAAGTGTTTCGTTAAAACTCTTTTATCTTTGAATGAACGTTACTCAAATAAATAAATTCATTCATCCATTATTGCGTACGTT